ATATATATATATATATATATATATATATATATATATATAAAGATTTAAATAGTAAAAAATATAAAATAAAATGCTTCTATTGAGAAATCAACTGATAGCCTTATTGGAGCTCCTTGTAGACAACTTCAATCCTACGAATGGCCTTTCTCCTGTTATTTTTAAGATTCTCTCTTTGTCTTCAAACTCTGCCATTTTAATTATGATGTGTTTTGGTGTGGATTTCTTTGAAGTCATCTTGTTGGGACTGTGTACTTCCTAGTCTTCTGCATCTTTTTCCTTCATCAAATTAGGGAAGCTTTCAGTCATTGTCTCTTCAAATATATTTTCAATACCTTGCTTTCTTTCTTCTCCTTCTGGTAACCCTATGATGTGAATGTTATGTTTGATGTTATCCCAGAAGTCCCTTATACTATCCTCATTTTTTTCATTCTTTTTCTTTCTGCTACTCTGTTTGGGTGCTTTCTGCTTTCAGATATTGTATTCTTCATTTCTGACTAGTTCTTTTTTATTGTTTCAATGTCCTTTCTTATGCTTACTATCTGTTAGAGTTCTCACTAAGTTCATTCATTCTTCCCCTGGGGTCCTAGAGCATCCTTAGAACCATTGTTTTGAACTCTGAATCTGGTAGATTGCTCATTTCCATTGCATTTAGTTGTTTTTCTGGAGATTTCCTCTGTTCTTTCATTTGGGCCGTTTTTTTGTCTACCCATTTAGGCTGCCTCTCTGTGTTTGTTTCTATGTATTAGATAGATCTATTATGTCTCCCAGCTTTGGTAGGGTGGGATTATATAATTGGTATCCTGTGGGGCTCAGCAGTGCTATCACCTTATCACTAACAGTGTCCTTGTGTGGGGTATGTGAGCTACCCTGTTGTAGTTGAGATTGATGGCTCTTGGCCCATCCATGGGTGGTGTTGACCCTCAGGTTGGCTAACTGGGAAGACTGATCCCAACCACAGTGTATGACCCCACGAAGTAAAATTCCCCCCTGCAGGTTCTGATGCCTGTTGTGACCTCCCTTAAGTTGTGCCACTTGTGGTGCTAATTGATCCATGATCTGATGTGGTCTGAAGCCAGCCACTGAGTTGGTTCTAGAGCCCCTTGGGACGGACTCCTGCACAGGTCCACATCAAACACTGAATGAGACCAGCCCTGAATTTCTTGTTAAAAGCTAGTAAGTGATCCACATTGGTGGCTGCCTCTGCTGGGCCTGGGTCCCTGTGGAAGGGGCCAAGCTGCAGACCAAAGCCAACTTCCACCAGTACCATGCCTGGGACAGGTCTGCAAAATGCCCAAGACATCCCGAAATCTGCCTTTGCCTGCCAGCTGCCTATTAGGCTCAGCTGCTGAAAGAGCCTCTGGCAGTATGTGAACTGCATGAAGCAAGTTCTGAGTGAGTCACCAGGTAGGGGCGAATGGTGTTCCCCAGGTTGATGCAGATTCAAACTTGGCACCAATACTGCATCTAAGGCCACTCAGACAAAGTCAGTGTACACCAATGGCAACCGCCATCTTCTTGGAGTCTGCACATCTTGATGATGGGGCAGGGCCTCAGGGAATTGGCAGGGTGGGGCTAGTGCATCTCCCCAGGCTGCCATTGGGGTGGGGGGAGGTACCAAAACAGAACAATAACATCAGTGGGGGCACTTGGGGGAAATGGCCCTCACCCTAAAGTCACATAACTCAGTCTCTCTGAAACCCCATGAGTTTGCCCAGATTTCCTCAAGAATTTTTCAAAAAGGACTGCAACATGGGCCCAGGCTGGCTGCAGCCAACAGATTCCTCCGCAGGGTGCAAGCATGGCTAGGATGGGGCCTCAAAGTCAGAAAGATACAGTTATTGCATCTCCCCAGGTTGATGCCATGTGGAAGGCAGTGCTGGACCCAGGAAAGATAGCATCTGTGAGAAGTGTGGGAGAAGGACTCGGCATAAGCACATTGTCCTCCAGCCCTTTCACTGCAAGCATAAAACCCAATCTCTCCCTGTATGGCTCCAGTCCCATGAGCCACCATCACTCTTCCAGAGCCCAGGTGAGTGCCTGCAAGAGAAATTTTGTGGGCTGGCCCTTTAATAGAGTACCTGGGTTTCCAGCAGTCCCACATTTCACCCTGGCATATGGAATCCCCAACGATTTTCTCAGCCAGATGTTATATGGACTCCTCTTCCCAGCACTGTTGCTCCGGGCTGGGGAGCCAGTATAGGGTTGAGACCCATGCTCCTCAGGGGGGGGACCTCTGCAGCTGAAATAAACCTCCAGATTCTCAATCCCCACATGTAGGTGCAGTGACAGTCCTTTTCTTGTCTCTGCCCTTCCTACCAGTCTCAATGTGGCTTCTTCTGTATATCCTTACTTGTAAGACTTCAGTTCAGCTAGTCTTCAGATGGTTATCCAGGTTCATTGTTCTATGATTTTGCTGTAATTTTAATATGATCCTGGGAGGACGTGAGTGTAACTTCCACCTCTCCATTTGATCCTCTCCTTTCTCCATAAATTGTAAAAGGTAGAAATCAGGGAGAAACCAAGATGGCGGCATAGGTAAACACCGGAAATTGCTGCCTCCCACAACAAATTCAAAAATACAACTAAAAGACAAAACGGACATCATCCAGAACCACAGGAAGGCTGGCTGAGTGGAAATTCTACAACTAGAAGGAAAGAGAAAAGCACACTGAGACTCAGAGGAGGTGTGGAAGTAAAGTGCAGAGGTACGGAGGCGCACACGGAAAGGGCTGGCAACTGAGGACACGGTTGTCTTTTTCAATTGGGAGGGAGACACACGCTCCCGCTCTGAACTCCAGTTCCGGGCTAGTCTCTGGGGACCCAGACTCACACGGGGAGAAACTGGACTGTCTGGCATCAGTCGGAACTCAAGGGCAGCTTTCTCTCAGAGGTGCTTGCAACGATTACCGCAGGATATTGAGACCTGGGGCCTCTTAGGGCAGGACTGAGGATCAGCAATAGCTGTTTCCTCCGCCCTGTTGATTCTCTGAGACCTCGCCCCACCCAAGCTGCTAGCAGAGGCTTTTGCATATGAATGACCTGGCCCTTTGAGATCTAAAATTACCTAACAAACTGCAGCTGGGTCAGAGACCCAGAACATCCAAAAGAAGGCCCAAGGCCCCACAGCAGCTTGCACTGCTTCACAGCTGGGCCTCATCTGGGCACCGCCAAACCCAAAAAAAAGAAGAGGAATCTGCAGATCTATCCATAGCTCCTGCTGGGTAGCCTCAGGCAGAGGCTAAATTAGCACCTCCTTAGAGATCCAAGAGCCCGTGTACCCAGTGGTCAGAGTGGGATCATCCAGATTACAACTCCTCAGATCCATAAGGGACACACTCAGAGGGCAGACTCAGTGAGCACCAAAGCCCCACTGAAGCAAGTTTTGCCCCAGAAGGTGTCTCCAGCACAGAAGTTCTCCCCACTGTAGACACAGCTGATTCTCACGGCCAATTGCCTGAAGTCAATTCCTCCCAGTAATCCCTACACCAATCAAGGCTTAACTACAACAAGACTGTGCACAAAGCCCACAAAAGGGGTGCACCAAGAGTGTCCACCTCAGGTAACTGGGGAGGCTGAGCCACTGGGCCCTATAAGACACCTAGCACAGAAAGCCACTCTATCAACACAGGGAAGCAGCCAGAATGCAGAGACAAAGCAACAGATCACAAATGACAGAAATGGAGGAAAGCAAACTACTGGATATAGAGTTCAGAACAACACTTATAAGGTTTTTCAAGAATATTCTAGAAACCGCCGATAAATTTAGTGAGACCCTCAAGGATATGAAAAAGGACCAACTAGAAATTAAGCATACACTGACTGAAATAAAGAATAATATACAGAGATCCAACAGCAGACAAGAGGATCCCAAGAATCAAGTCAATGATTTGAAATACGAAGAAGCAAAAAATACCCAACCGGAAAAGCAAAAAGAAAAAAGAATCCAAAAATATCAAGATAGTGTAAGGAGCCTCTGGGACAACTTCAAGCGAACCAACATACGAATTATAGGGGTGCCAGAAGAAGAGAGAGAGCAACATATTGAAAACCTATTTGAAGAAATAATGACAGAAAACTTCCCCTATCTGGTAAAAGAAACAGACTTACAAGTCTAGGAAGCGCAGAGAACCCCAAACAAAAGAATCCAAAGAGGACCACACCAAGACACATCATAATTAAAATGCCAAGGGCAAAAGACAAAGAGTGAATCTTAAAAGCAGCAAGAGAAAAAAAGTCAGTTACCTACAAGGGAGTACCCATACGACTGTCAGCTGATTTCTCAACAGAAACTTTGCAGGCCAGAAGGGAGTGGCAAGAAATATTCAAAGTGATGAATACCAAGAACCTACAACCAAGATTACTTTACCCAGCAAAGCTATCATTCAGAATTGAAGGTCAGATAAAGAGCTTCACTGATAAGAAAAAGCTAAAGGAGTTCATCACCACCAAACCAGTATTATATGAAATGCTGAAAGGTATTCTTTAAGAAGAGGAAGAAGAAGAAAAAGGTAAAGATAAAAATTATGAACAACAAATACACATCTATCAACAAGTGAATCTAAAAATCAAGTGAATAAAAAATCTGATGAACAGAGTAAACTGGTGAATATAATAGAATCAGGGGCATAGAAAGGGAGTGGACTGACAATTCTCAGGGGGAAAGGAGTGTGGGGGGTGCAGGAAGAGACTGGACAAAAATCGTACACCTATGGATGAGGACAGTTGGGGGGGGGAGGGTAAGGTCAGAGGGTGGGGTGGGAACTAGGTGGAGGGGAGCTATGGGGGGAAAAAAGAGGAACAACTGTAATAATCTGAACAATAAAGATTTATTTTAAAAAAAAGCTTCACATCTTTAAATGAAAAATTAAAAATCCAAAACTACATACGCTTTTGTTTTTTAAATGTATTCCATTTTTTTCAAGATGTACATTGATACTTGTTATGTATAAAAAATATCCTGACTTAACAAACTTTAAGTATTAAATGATGTTTATAAATTGGATATAACTTTATTGAGCACATTCTATCTGCCAAGCCCAGTATTCCACATTTTCATTTAATCTACCCATAAAGTAAGAACTATCAATCCATTTTAAAGAAAACTGAGGTTTGAGAGATATATAAAAAGCCCAAGGTCACAGAGCAAATAGGAGGCAATAACCAAGGAGATAATTTTGGTTTCAATGACTTCATGATTTTGCTAAAATAATTCTATTACCCTTATCATAAGCAAGGTAAGTCACCATTCACATTTCTGATGTGAGTACAAAAAACTGAAAATGAAAAAATTATCAAACACAGCACATGGCAGGGACTTTTCAAAACCTAAACTGACATCTACCTAAGATGTGGAAAAACATGTAAAGAAATACCAAAGAATGTACTTTTTATAGACCAAAAATATATGTATGTATACCCTTGATTTCCACAGCTAGTGACTGAAATTGGCACAGTTTACTCTACAGGAATCCATGCCAATCTCCAAGCCTTGCATTACTTAGCTCAGTCAGACACCACAAAACTGCCTGTTCTCACATGCAGAGTCTGGACCTACTCAATTGAGATTTGTTCTTATACTCTAGCAACCAGTCAAAAGCTCAAAAAATAGGAGTAGAATGCAGCTCTGTCATCAAATCTCACTGATGCAGTTAAATATTCACCCATCTCAACTCTATCTGAACAGAGCTTGACCTCTGATCTACTCACCTTTATATCTATTCTCCTCTTGTTACAGATCTTCCTGATTCCCAATTCTAAGCTGCATACTTGTCTACTCTAATTCCTAATCAACTACTCTATTCCTGATGCTGTTACCTGCTAGACTCTCCCAAATTCCATCAATCCAAAAATACATATGCCCTAATACTAACAATATCATTGCTTCTCTAATATCAAAGTAGTACCAGACACAAATAGGAATACAAGATTTTGTGTTTCCTGCAAATCCTACAAAGGAAATTTGACCCAGAATCTTTAGATTTTTTCCATAATTACTAAAGCATTCTCCATTATAATACTCAATTCTCATAAAATATTCTCCTACTTGAAGTAATATTCTATTACTTGACAATAATACTGGAACCTCTATCACTTTTACTTCATTAAGACTAGTCAGGTGTCCCCAGAAGCCAGTAGTATATACCATAATACCCCAAAACTTCATGTGAAAACACCAACACTGCCCTGCCCCTCCAATGTCACCTTTGTACCAGAAATACAGGAAAAAATATTTCTTAATTGTCTGAAAGATGCATTCTGGCAAAACTTTAGCAAACATGTCTGCTCAGTTCAGAATCCATGTCTACAGTGATGTTTCTGATTAGAGGAGCCTAGTTCAGAACACCATTTTACATGCCAGTGTCCTAGTTGCAAATGAAAGGCTGGGAATCAGAATTAGGGAGATGGAATTCATAAGGCTGAAAATGGGCCAAACACAGCAAGGTTCAGAAGGCTCTGGACAGTCAAAAACCATGACAAATAAGCCCTCTTTGCTTCCACTCTTGCCCCTTATAGTCTATTTGTCAAACAGCAGCCAGAGTAATGTTCAAGTAAAGTCATATCCTGTCACTACTCTGCTGAAAACCTTTCAAAGGTTTCCCAATTCCCGGAGTCCTAACCATGGCTTACAAGGCTGAACATGATCCTGAACAGGGACTCCATTCCCCAACTCAACTCTGTATCTGTCTCACCTTATCTTCTACCACTTTCCCCTTACTGTGTGCTACACCCACATTACTCTCCTTATTGTCCCTCTTCCTAGAACATCTTCCCCAAAGCAGGGTTAGCTGCTATATTTATTCTAATATCTAGTCAATTTCTTCAGAAGCTTACTCTGATCACTCTATCTAAAAGCATATTGTCCCAATCATTCTCATTCAATATGTGCTTTAACTTTCTTCATATTATTTTTCATTGACATATATCCCTCCACCACTAAAATATGTTTCATGAGAACAAGGATGTTGTTTTGTTCAATGATGTACCTCAGTACCTAGAACAGTCAGAAAGCATGCTCAATAAATGTTTGCT